CACCCTTTTCATTGTTACTAGTTACGGATGCAGCAAAGTGTCAAACGTGTAATCCATGCGAGTTTTACTTTTGTCCTAACGTGACAAAGTACGCGTCGGAAGTGCTGTTTAAAACATCGTGCAATTTTCATATTCGCGTCGCGCACACGTGTGAATGTCTTGAAGAACTTGCAAAAAAAATGAGAAAAGGGAGGAGTTCAGGAAGAACATTTGATGCCGGCGGGGCAACTTTAGGATAAGAAATCATTTGTTTGTTGTCTATTATTTATTTACAAAAATATTGCACGTAAAATATTATGTAATATAACGCACATATTCAGTAAAATATTTGCAATTTTTGATATTTATAAATTTAAATTATTTATAGATATAAATACATAAATCTTGTATTAGATATTAGTATAAATAATAAGTAAAAGTTAAATGTACGCAATAATAATCTTTCAAAGAAAAAATTATTTTAAACGCTGCTATAATTGAAATGTATTTTGTATGTTACAGATCAATTTGGAAATTCCGCTGCTGTGCATCGTGCCGATAAGTCAATCCAATTTGTTAAATTTTAATATCACTCAAAAAAATGATCTTGCAATAATAGCTAAAATTTTCTAGGTGTAAGAAATTAACTAAAACAGATAAATGATTAGCAACTGTTGTGATATTGCATATGTAATTACTTAATCAGTTTAGATGACAGAAACAGAATATATATCTGTATTGTTTGTGAACTTTAAAAAGAAAGTTTCTCTAAAGCGCCTATCTATATAAGATGAATCACGTGTTCGATTATGCAATGAATAACATTTAGCAATGGTACCTAAATTTTTCAGATGCTATTGCTAGAACATTACTGCTATAAATTCTATATGTGACAAACAATGTTTCCACAGATACGAAAAATAGCGATACATTCTTGTTGCGATATCTAGAAATCTAACTACATCAGCGAAATAATTTTTTGAGTTAAGAGAATCATCTTGCACAAAAAAAATCGATGCCATTGATAATGCCATTGATAATGCCATATTTAAAAATAAATCAGATGGATAAATGCATAATAATAATAATTTTTTAATATAATCCGTCAATTATATCTATTTATTTCTGCAATCGGTATATCAACTGCATTTAAGACAGTATAAATAAATTTAAAAAAATACATAGATATTTTTAATATAGCCCTCCTAATTTGAGAAGTTTTATTTGATGCATATTAAAAATACATACACATATAATATATTATTCGTGCATTATTTCTCACAAAATATATTCGTGTAAAGAATACATTGTAACGTCTCTTTTACTGACAATAATACTTGGCATGAGATATTACCGCGTGTTTTGATAATTGTTAGCTAGGTTTGACCGAAACGCTCTGCACATCACATGTAAACGGTTCTCTCTGTTGATGTGTAGAAACCGCAGTGTATACTTCTGCCATCACTATGTATTGTATTTAGTTACACTCGTCCAGTCGCTTCAAACGGACACAATGTCTCTAAGAATTATAACTAACAAGAATGTGTGGGAATATTATACAAAAGTGTCGGACTTCAAAGCGAAATGCAAGTATTGCGAAAATAACATATCTTTATAAAGACTCGTCAAACTTCAAAACACATATAAAAATACATAAAGAAATTTCGGAAGACGAAGAAAAGACGAAACTAATACGATGGAAGTATTTCAAATATTTAAACCAATACTCTTCACAATGTGTTATCTGTAATACAGAAGTTCCGTCTACAACTGAATCTGTAGAACATCATTTAAGTTTGCATTCTGAAGAACAACAAAAGAATAATATATATGGAACAGATTGGACATTGAGATTTCGGACAGAAAAAAATGATAATATAGTGGAATGTAATATTTGTCATAAAGATATATCTCTTTCTATTCTAAAAAGTTTAGATCGTCATGCAAAAAATCAACATTTGGACAAATTGAAAAATACGCAAGAAGCATACGACACAGTTGGTTCGTCAGAACGCGTTTCATCACTTCAAACGGACACAATGTCTCTAAGCATTATAACTAACAAGAATGTGTGGGAATATTATACAAAAGTGTCGGATTTCAAAGCGAAATGCAAGTCTTGCGAAAATACATATTTTTATAAAAACTCGTCAAACTTCAAAACACATATAAAAATACATAAAGAAATTTCGGAAGACGAAGAAAAGACGAAACTAATACGATGGAAGTATTTCAAATATTTAAACCAATACTCTTCACAATGTGTTATCTGTAATACAGATGTTCCGTCTACAACTGAATCTGTAGAACATCATTTAAATTTGCATTCTGAAGAACAACAAAAGAATTATTATGTATATGGAACAAATTGGACATTGAGATTTCGGACAGAAATAAATGATAATATAGTGGAATTTAATATTTGTCATAAAAATATATTTCTTTCTATTTCAAAAAGTTTAGATTATCATACAAGAAATAAACATTTGGACACATTGAAAAATACGCAAGAAGCATACGACACAGTTGGTTCGTCAGAACGCGTTTCATCACTTCAAACGGACACAATGTCTCTAAGCATTATAACTAACAAGAATGTGTGGGAATATTATACAAAAGTGTCGGATTTCAAAGCGAAATGCAAGTCTTGCGAAAATACATATCTTTATAAAGACTCGTCAAACTTCAAAACACATATAAAAATACATAAAGAAATTTCGGAAGACGAAGAAAAGACGAAACTAATACGATGGAAGTATTTCAAATATTTAAACCAATACTCTTCACAATGTGTTATCTGTAATACAGATGTTCCGTCTACAACTGAATCTGTAGAACATCATTTAAGTTTGCATTCCGAACAGCAACAAAAGAATTATTATGTATATGGAACAAATTGGACATTGAGATTTCGGACAGAAATAAATGATAATATAGTGGAATGTAATATTTGCCATAAGAATATATCTCTTTGTTTTTCAAAAAGTTTAGATTATCATACAAGAAATAAACATTTGGACAAATTGAAAAATACGCAAGAAGCATACGACAGAGTTGGTTCGGCAGAACGCGTTTTATCACTTCAAACGGACACAATGTCTGAGTAACTAAGAGATTATTTAAAATCATTCAACCTATCGGCCTGAAATGCATTATTTGTAATCAAAACGTTTTATTTTTATCTAAAAATTTAGAAGATTATTTACGCTTGCATTCTAAGAAACAATTAAAAAAACATACATCTCAGAGTTGGCTATGGGGAATAAGTACCAAAAGTGATTATTTTGAAGTAGAGCATAACATGCAGAAACATATCTATTGCTATTGCAACTCATTTCAATCACCATATCAAAGATGAACATCATTTGGCAAACCAACTAAACTGAATAAAAAAAAGGCAGTAAGTTTCATTGATATTATTGTTAACATCATTATAAATAAATAATTTTTCACCATTTTTTAAATCGCGCTTAATTTTATAAAAACATACAATATAATGATCATACCAAAACCCAAATAATTATTTACCATGTAAATATTATAATTATTTGCACAGATTTATCCAGAAGTTGACAATGGAAATGATGATCCAAGT